TTTCCTACTCATACACTTGATCAGACCAAATAAAGAAACACATGCACTGTTGACCTTTTCACACTCTTCATTTAATCAACTGCACGTACATTTTAACCTACCAGCTGCTACGTTCCAGTACTTGTGGCTCTGAAACGACCAGGGCCAGAGGAGGATAAAGGGAAGACAACATGAAGATAAGGTGTTAGACACATGGTAAATGCAGTTTAATCAAACCCACTGTTTTGAAAAATAAAGCTGGCCTTAACCTGGTAACGAATATGAGGCTGTCCCGAGTAAGAATCTTAAAAACAAACTCAAACAGTATAACCGTAATACTCATTAAAAGCTTTCTATGGAAATTACATTTACGTGAGGGGGGGTCTGTCAGTCACAGTTTATTTGGTTCAGAAAGTGTCCCTCTGTAAAATGATTTTGAGCCAGCAAAGAAAAAAATCTGAATGTCCAACGTGATTCACTCTATATCCGTTTTAGCCGACAGTACTTCCGATCTCTAAGGTTAGGTTGTTGTACGCATGCGCAGCAGAACGTTCGGCTCAAGTGAATGATGGCAGAGCTGCACCAACGCCGACGGCTCGGCGACAGACACTTCGTGCCTGAAGGAGCATCCTCCAAAATACACAGAGACACGCCTGGCGACAGCACCGCGGTGTCTCTGAAACTGTTGGCTGCGGGATTTTACGGAGTCAGTTCATTTCTCATCGTTGTTGTCAACAAAAGCGTCCTCACTAGCTACAGGTAACTAAAGGTACAAAGTACAAGTTGCAGGAGCGGGAGGCGGCGTGTCCGACCGCGGACCAGCAGCAGGGATGAGAGGTGACTGGTTTCAAATAAAGGTGCAAAGTATGGATGGGTCGATCTCTGGCCAGTTTAGATTTGTTTGGCTCCTCGCTTCTTGGGGGAAGGCAGTGCTTCACTCAGATTAAAACGTTTGACCTTCCTCTAACTAAACTGCAAAAGCTTCTGTTTATTTACACAACATCATACATTTTTATTTCGTAAAAGTTTAATTACATATAATGCAAAGTTGATCTCTAAACAGTGATGGAAGAAGTATTCAGATTACTTATATACTTAATTATGGCTAAATTAAAGTCTTGAATATGTAGTATGTCAGACCTTTTAGCAAAATGTATTTAAATGATCAAAGTCAAAAGTATTAATTATGCTGCACAATGATCCTTGTCAGAGTCATATAGTAATAAACAGAAATGGTATTATTGTTACTGATGTCTAAGCAGCATTTTAATATTGTAGATTTAACATGTTTATAAGCAAATACTCTGCGTTCACTGTATAGTAAATGTATGTGTGTGACTCAAGCAGTCAGATAATTGCAGTGCAGTGGATGTATGTAGTACTGTCTGTGAAAGTACTTGAGCAAAGCACAAGTACCTCATTCAACAATTTTTTTTATTTATTTAGGTTTTTGTTTTGACTTACAGATTTCCATCGTCAACATGTGTTGGAATCGGACAGGTACGTTTTTCCAAAGTGTGGGCATCAGTACTTCCTGTTTTTTGAACAGCAGAACCTGATACACTGTATCCTGCTTCATTCACTTCACAGATGCTGGCTACAGTTGTAGTTCTGAGGACTGGGAAGATGTTAGGTGTCATATCATTTCCAGATGTGGATCTGAGTATCCCACGCAAGGTGAGGAGTAATTTGTGTAAGCTCAAGCCACAGAGATATGATGTAGTTCACATGCTAAAGATCAAATCTGAACAGTAAATACTGTTTTCTTCCCAGATGTTCCCGCTGCCTCTGCTATATGTTGGAAATCAAATATCAGGACTGTTTGGGACACAACGGCTCAAGTATCTACTGTTTCCCTTATTAATATGAAACAATTTCTTAATTTGCGAAATCTAACACAGTTTCCTTTTCTTAGTTTACCCATGTTTACAGTTTTGAGGAGGTTCGGTATTCTTCTGACCATGGTGTTTGAGGGACTCTTGCTGAAGTAAGTTCACGTTTCCTCTGTACCATTTAACCAAAATATTAAATGAGTGATTTTAATGACTGTGCCCCATTTCCTTTCTCGGCAGAAATACCTTCTCCTTGTCAGTTAAAATGACAGTGTTTACCATGATCTTTGGTGCTTTTATTGCTGCCAGGTAACATGGCCACATACGCTACACCCATTATATCTATGTTATCTGACTCCTAGACAGTATATGTATCTCATTCTTTAACATGTTCTGCACTTTGTAGCACCGATTTAGCCTTTGACCTTGAAGGATACATATTCATAATGCTGAACAATGTCCTGACAGCGGCCAGTGGGGCGTATGTGAAGCAGAAACTGGACTCGAAGGTGAGCAGAGCAGCTAATCGCACTGCAATGCTTTTTCTTCTGCATAATTTCATTAAAACAATAAATACTGCTGTTTCTGTAGGACCTGGGCAAATATGGGCTTCTCTACTACAACGCTCTCATCATGCTTTTCCCTACTGTGATGTACGCTTACTACTCAGGGGACTTGAACAGGGTAAATCAATATTTCTAGCACAAACTGGTAGGTTTCCTCTAGTGTCTGATGCTGAGGATCTCCATTCTGTGTTTGTGTGCAGGGGCTGGAGTATAAGGGCTGGTCGGATCAGCTGTTCGTTGTGCAGTTTGTGCTCTCCTGTGTGATGGGGTAAACCAGATACCTAGGTCCTGCTCCTAATCATTTGTTAATTCATAGATATGTCCCACATCACTGCTTTTGTCTGTTCAAATGTGTTGTGCAGATTCATTCTAATGTACTCCATCATGCTGAGCACTCAGTACAACTCCGCACTCACCACCTCCATTGTGGGCTGCATTAAGGTAAGTTATTAAAGGCTGGTCCTGCTCTCGGTCGGCTGATGATTTACAATTGTAGATCTGTGCAGTGACTCTGTTGTGGCTCCTGTAGAATATCGTCGTGACCTACATCGGAATGGTGTTTGGTGGAGACTACATATTCACCTGGACTAACTTTCTAGGTCTAAACATCAGGTAAGCTTGACATATAAATTGTGCTGGAGAGACGTTGGCTTTTTCTATCTGGGAACCAATTTTGTCACCTTTGTTTCCCACAGCATTGCTGGGAGTCTGGTGTACTCCTATATCACCTTCACACAGGAGCAAACAAGTAAAAACAGATAAAATCTTGGGAATTGTAAAGGTTCCATCAGGTTTTGCCTCCAGGGTTTCCAGGTCAAATTTAACAGAAAAGGTGTAAACCCTGGATCCAACACTGAGGAACAAAGAGCATCCACAACGCACTGTTTGTGGATACGTGCTTTTTAGCCATTATGTTAAAATATTTTTTAAAATGTTTGCTGTATTTTATCAGCGCACAAATCGGTGCAATCATGGAAAGTTATTTTCTGAGACTATTAACTTTTGTATCTGTGATTAAGACAGTGCCTTAACTTTTTTATATTTCACTGATCAAAGACAAAGGCATGACCATATTTCTATTTGGGAAATCAGTAAAATGAAATGTTTATTTCTATTTTAATACCATGACTCATAACTCTAAAATACGAACCTAGCTTTTAATTACATTTTGAAATGTGACTTTTTGTCTGAGTCTGAACTCAATGCATTTATTAAATATAGCCAGTCTTGGAATACACTTCCATTTTTATTCATGTTGTCATATACAGAGAAAAATAAAACTGTCAAAAAAGGAAAAGACTACATGGTCAACATTATTTGAGACAAACTCATCTTAGTTTGTAAGTTCAAAGCTGGAGTACAAAGTAAACACTTAAGCATCAAGCTGAACAGCTGCTGTATCAAAACGAATGGTCAGCCTGGTCTGGGCAGCTGCTCTGAAGCCACTCACTCATGGCAGACGGTAAATACTAGTTAAAACGAAGCAGTTTTTAAAAAAACAAAGGCAAGCACCACACTCAGCCACAGTGTCTTTTTATGCACAGAGGTGACAAACATTTCAGACCAAGCCAGGTCACACAGGAATGGGAAGTGCTGCCAATCAGGAATGGCTGCTTCTCTGTTACATCTCAGAACAACAAAGGCTTCTCAACAAAAAGCACAGCCTACAAGGAAGACCAGAAAATACAGAGAGGAACACACAGTTATTAAAAAAAAATGTACCAGCTGATCAAGGTAAGAAATCTATACAAAGTTTACATTAAAAATCACGGACGTTGTGTCTAGTATAAACAAAGTGTTGAGCAAAGCAGTGAATATGAAAATCCAAAAATACAGCCATCTTCTACATGATGAGTTAAAATACAGGACATCACTGATGTCAGCCGCTTTACACACAACAAACCTCCAGGGGGCGTAACCCTGTGGTTTATTTATCATGATCCAACAAACTGGTGTGATAGAGGCCAGTGTGACAGTGTATTTCTGCTAGGTTTTGTCACCACTCCTCGTCAGTAAAGATGAGAAACATCCAAAGTGCAACTACAGTGAGCAAGTGGCCGTACTGGCCCACTCCGCGTGCGTTTGCCTTCTTAAGCAGATAATCATTGACAACGTCCCATTTCTTCAAATGGCCTGAATAGTAATTACCCATCACTTTTTTTGTTAAAAATATAAATATCTCTTGTGTAGAAAAATAATCACAGGTGAATTTTTTTTTTCTTTGAGTACAAACAGAAAGAAAATTATTGGCAAATTTTGTCAGTCAAGTCTCTAAAAAGGGAATAAAGTTGATGGGTAGAAGATGTTTTGTAAAACAATGTAGTTGTGGAACTTTGGGATGAGCTTTGCAGGCAGTCAGTTCATGGAGGGGTGTGAGGGACAGGAGGGTGGGCAGCCTCTGCTCCTCCTGGAGGACCAGCTGCACTTCGGTTGGCTGTGATTTTCAGTGACCTTTGACCATATTTTAGAGTGAGTCTTTGCTCTCAGCAGCTACTGTGCTTGCAGGCCAAGTGGGGGTCATTGTCTCCATCCTCTTCACCCCATGCCTCTGCCTTGAACTGGGGGAGCGGGAACTATTTTTGTCGCCTGGAATCAGCGTCTGTTAGCTCTGGAGCCCTCAGTTCTCCTGAGCTCTAGATGGTTCCACATCACTTTGGCCCAAAGGCTCTGCCTCTGTCCTGCACCGCTTGACTGGCCTGTCGGGCACTGGCGCCACTGTGTCTCTGTGGTGCAGCAGGGGCTCCAGAGATCCGTTTTTGTCGTGGCTGGCTGCAGTGGCTCGGTTGCAGCCATTGGAGTTGTTGTCTGAAATGGGTGGAGGAGCTTCCACCGGTGGATGGGAGGGACCGTTGGACTGAACTGACTCAAGTTTGACTGGATTTGCTGGGGGCAACTGAGCACCATCCACTGAATGGCTTGAATTGTGGCTTGCAAGACCTGTCAAAGGAAGACAGAGTGAGTAGTTTGATACACTTAAAAAGTTTGAAGGGTTACACCACATTACAAAAACTGTAGCCTATTACTGAGCAGGTTCTGGGACAGCAGTCTGAGATTTCTGCCTTTATATGAATACAGTAAAGGTGAATCATTTATTTGTGGCACTCAAACGTTTAAGTGGAAACCACTTTATTTCCTCATAAATAGCACCCATTGAACCAGCTTTAGTGTGTGTTATATGTGTATCTACAGTAACACATACAGTTTTTGCAAAGAACTGTTCCACTGTAATGAAGCAGAGGCAGAAATGTGAGATTATTAAACCTGGGAAAAATTAAACTAAACTGATAACTACATAGCATTAGTGGCAAATGGCAAACAGTCACATGGCTTTGGCTATTTCAGCTAATTGTATTCTTAAATCTTCCTCCACCGTGACTTTATCTAGGTAACTTAGTGCTCGGGGAAAAACAAGTAATTTGAATACACTTGTTTAAGGTCTTGGTTTAGATCTGAAATAGCTCTGTGTGTGTGTGTGTGTGTGTGTGTGTGTGTGTATATATACACTCATATATTAAGTGTAATTTGTAACGGTGGCTCACCGTTCTGACTGCTGCTGTCCTCTCTCTCAGAGTGGCTGGTGCTACTGCTGGAGGTGGTGGGAGGAGGCGATGCCGCCCTGCTGGATGTTGTGCTTTCGGTCTCGTCCAGTAATCTGTCCATGTAGTCTCTGATGGCACACAGCAGCACACGGCCCGTTACACACAACCTCAGCCTTTGATATGGTTTAAAAGAGCCAAGTGTTTAGGTTGGGGTGTCATTCTTCTAACCAAACAGTGACTGGGGGTGGTTGCTAGCCCCAGTGTCACTGTACACTAAAGATGTCTTGGTATTGGTAGTCAGCACCGATCCGGGCTTGTTTCACGGGATCTGTACTGGCCAGAATAAAGCCGATCCAATTCTGATCCTTACATATAGATGCAAGTGTAGCCAGTAATTCACCCACTGCCTATTGTTTGTCAGAGTTTTGTACCATAGTTTTCTCTTTTCCAAAGTGTTTGTCGGCTCCTCTGTGTGTTTTTGTACATGACTGAACAGTACAGACACAAGTGGGAGTCTCCTGCAATGTGCACACAAGATGTTACGTGCTGCATATGCTCTGCTTTTGGTGTAGACAGTAGGTTTTATGCTAGCATCCAGCGGTGCTACGACAGCTGCCACCTTTATTTTTAATGCAGCGTTTTAAATGGTCAAACAGGGATGTCTAAACTGGACTGGATACACAAACTGTGTGTTCACATACGCTAAGTAGTAACAGTATCTGCACTGTCATGAATCTGTAGTTCTGAGTGTGTTGTTCAGCAACCAGTTATTCTTTTATTCATATCAATAATTCAAACTAATAAACTTGATATTTTGGGACCAGGACCTGATTCAAGATTTTGACCAAGAAGCTCCTGACAAAGATAAATTTTAATATCTGATAGTTAATGAACATTTAATGTAGGTAAATATAAGTATGGAATTGGAATCAGTATCAGCAGATATTTAATATTAAGGGAATTGAATCCATATCGGGGCCAGAAAACTGGGTCGGGACATCCCTAATGTCCACTGATCTGTTGTCGATACGCGTAGTCAGGCCCAGTCATTCTCTACAGAAACATGCAGTGCTGTGGTTGCTTCACCAGTTATGTCACCACATCCAGGAAGTGCTCCATACTCTACTGGCTTCCATTAAACAGGTCTAAAACTGGTCTGAGCTAAAATCCAGTTTATAGGAAGAGACAAAATTGATCATTTTTACTTAAATTATCACAATCTGACAATGTTCAAGCATATCAGGTTAGAATGAGCTACCCAGTGGCCAGGCTTCTCTGTGCATAGCACCAGTCTGTATATAAATCGCTTTATAAACAGTCTGTGTGCACAGCACATTAGACTTGTTTCCAAAAAATATAAATTTTATTTGCTTACTGCAGCATTTAAACAGACTAATAATTGATACATATTACAGTAATGCTTCTTCCCTATTACGATGGCTGCAGATAGTATGAAAGTAACAAATATGACACCATAGTTCATATTGTTATCTGAGACCTCAATCCACATGGAATACCTTCACACTCAAACCATCTCAGATGCTACACAGCACAGAAACTGAAGTGTCCCACTAAATATGACTTGTACTCCAAAGTCATTTCTAAACCCAGCCATTCACACCCTTAATATCTAACTGAAATGCCTCCGTAATGTGTTATCAACTTTGTTTTGTAAAAAAAGAAACTCATCCCATTTTGCCTCTTTCTTAAGCTCTACAAGTTGGAACAAAGCTTTGTGTGTGTCCACTATAAGGCGCCGGTATCTGACTCACGTATTTTAACACAAAACAAACTGAAATCTGTTTCTGTGAGTAACTTTGTTTATGTTGTGCTTTTGAATCACAAAACATGGAATATCACAAACATAATACATGTGAAACTGGGCTACAACGTCTTTAAAAGCAGCTGTACAGATAAAAAGTGACACTCACGTGACACCAGGGTGAAGGTTGTATTTCCTTTTCCCAAGTCTGGTTTGCTGTGCAAAGAAATCATAACGCTCAGACTTCTTCCACATGTAATAAAAGGCCACACATTCTCCTACAGACCTAGTTCTCACCTGAAAGATTTAATTCAGCAAACATGAAATGACCATTATTACCATCATCTGAAGAGATAGATTAAGTACAGTTGTCACAAGAGACAAATCAAATTCTTATTTAACAAAGTTGTACGTTCTACAGAAACTTTAATACAGTAAAAACTAAGAAATTTGATTCGTCTCAAAATGCAACAAGGTTGAAATGGAGCAGATTCCAAAACTGAGCATCCACATAGCAGCAAACATACATACATATATCGACATACATTTAAAATTAATGTTATGATTATCAAAATGTTATCAGTGACACATTGATTTGAACTGGTTAATGACTGTGACTTTCGGACACTTCTCTTACCTTGTTGGCCTGTATTAAATGAAAGTCTTTCCCATAAGCCTTTAGTCCTTGTTCAAAATTTCTACATTCCTCTTCAGTCCAGACAGAGAGCTCCTCTGTTACAGAGAAGATCAGTGTTAATGTTGCATCTGCATTTAGATTTTAAGGCAAACCTCAGATGATCCACCAGATCAGTGATGTAGCATCTAGGGGTGGGAAGGTTTACAAAATGTCATTAAATGAGCACTCGCAGATTTTTGGCAGCGTGTACACTTTTCCATATGGTAGCCCACTAACCAAGATGTGAATTACAGCATGACAACAGACACTGCCAAGATTTTGGTAAAGCTGGAAAGATTCCAAGTTCTTGGATCAATAGGTCAGAAGCAAAGCGATAAAAACACATAGGATGCCTTTGACAACCGCAGTAAGGTAGAAAACAAGCTGAAGCCACATTTCATCAGAATGAGCCGTCCTCCACGCTGGAGACGTCCCTGCGCACTCGTCTCACAGAGGCTGCACAGAGACCAGTTTGTGCAGCACAGAGGAGGCTCGTTCTGATGAAGCTCAAGTTGTAGCTTGTCTACCTTATTATGGTTGGAGTGAGATGTCATTTGTGTTCAAATCTGTGAATACTTTTCTAACTTTGCTGCAGAGCAGAGGTGTGCAGTTGTTGAGAGTCACCGAAATCCACATACCATAATAAGTTTACAAATGGGCACACAAAGCATCATATGAAAGCAGCTTATGAGCCAAGATGAATAATAAATTTATATAGCCTGCACATGTCCCAATCAGCACCTTTTAGACATTTCTGAGAGCAGGTAAAGTCAGTCTATGTGTCACTGTCATGAGGTGGCTTTGACCCACTGCAGGACTGTATGATTTTGTAGCTATTTGATGCTTCTTTGGGCAATAGGGTGAAAATTTCTTTTAATTTATGGATGAAGTTACAAAATGTTTCAAACCACCTTCCCACCGCCCCTCAAACTGGTATTTAGCCTTGTGGCTTTTGCACACTGGTAGACCTACCAGATGTCACAGGATGAAAAACTTCAAAATACCGACAGAACATGAACCCCAGGAAACAATTAGAAGCAGACCGAAACAGTATAACTAAAAATGAAATAACATGAGGTCCTTAAACTTAAATGGGGCAAAAAAAAAAAAACAGAGGGATTTGAGTGTTAATGCAAATCTATAAGGTATATTTAACCCACACCAGGCAGGGCGAAGGCAGGTCAGCCTGTGTGATCCGCAGAGCTGAGCTATGATCAATCCCCATCAATAGTGGGAAGTTATATGAGCAGTGGCGCCTGCACCCTCAATCCTGTCAGCACCGTGGGCATCTCTGCTCCAGTACTAGGCCACTGCCTCTGGCGTTTATTGGATGATCAATATATAGTATATAGTTTCAAATGTATGGACCAAACTAATTTGATATCACACACATCTAAAAACTGGACCATATCATTTCTACTCCTTAATGTGAGTCCTGTGCAGCGAGGTGTGAGTAACAGCAGCCACACACTGACTTCACCTGTTGCTAGTAACGCCTGAAACATAATTAGGACATGTGCATGGTATTTGCTCATGAGCTGCATTTATGTGCTATTTTGTGGGCTAATTATTGTGCATGAATTTCAGTGTCTGATCAGTGATTCTCAAGGAGCGGCTGGAGCACACCTCCGAGATGCAACGCTGGTCAATATGTGTGGAAAGTTTGGAGGTGTTGATGAGAGAAAGAGAGGCTGCTGAACTGAATGAGTGTACTGAGTGTGTGTGCTGCACTCACTCCAAGCTGTGCAGGGCTCAAGTTATTATGAAAAATATAGTGGCATGTGTCATAATGAGAAAATACAGTATGTTGTAATAAGAAAAATCACACTTTAATGGGACACTTATTCATAAAAATGAAAAAAGTATCTTGTTATAACAAGATACTAAGCAATCGTTTAGGTGAGTCGAACATTGCCTAAACAGTTACGGTAGTAGCATCTGAGAAAAGTGAGGAGAAAATCAAGCTTAAAGTAGGAAGGACATTGTGGTCTGCTTACCTCTGGCTGCTTTTACATTAAACCTAAGTCTTCTTAAAGCTTCTTCTGTGTCAAAGTCGCACTTCACCAGTTCGTACAGTGCCTACAGGGAGACATCACACATGTTTAACATTAGCCATATGGAAAGCTACCATTCTGTAATACACGATCAATACCAACTATATTTAAAACGCAAGGCTTGCATAATTGCAAATGTCTCTTATTGTCAAAGCATCTTGAAAAAAAAGCTAGCGCATCAGTCTGATCTTCCATACTGCCCGACTCCTCCAGCCTGTTTCTTGCCTATTCTTCCAACTTAATATGGACATTTTTTAAAACAGCAGCTGGGCACTGTGGTTTTCAGAAGATGTTACTCAAACAGCTACCACTCATATGGGCATTAGTGGGTACTTATGGCAGTAGAATGGTGTATGTGAGATCAATTTAAAATAAACTGTCAGTGTTCACTGTAACAGACATGTCCCCCAGTGCAACGGTTTGGCTCAGTAGCTTTTGACCAACAATGCCACTGTGGCATGACAAAGACGAATAAGCTAAATGAGGCTTAAACTACACATGGTTTCAGTCCATGGTCAGCACTATCTTTTAATACACGTCACAGATGCTACAGATGTGTTAATCTCACCTGTTCATTGTCTTTAATATGAGATCCCTCTGGGATCGCATCCACTCCCTTCTCATCACCCGTTCGCCTCGAGGCCTCTGTCAAGAACTCCACTACTTTGCCTTCAGGAAGACACTCTGGGTTCCACAACAACTGGTCATCATTTTCATAAACTACAGGACAGAATCACACAGAACATGTAATACGATATCAGTCTTATGTCGACCTTAGTTTATCCTGGGTGTTCTCTGCCTAACCCACACAGTATGACACAGTGTCAAGGCTTTAATGTGCAGATGCTGACGGGGAGACAGAGAAGCCAGCTCACCTTTTTCATTGTCTTTATATTTACACAGGCCAACAGGGGTTTCTGCCTGATACATGGAGCCCACCATAATCTCCTGTTGGGAATAAACACACAGTTTAGATCAAGTGTAGCCTGGTAGACAAACATTTACTTCTTATACTTACTTAAATGATTTATAACATATCAAATCTGCTTGTGTCCTACAAAACATACTCATCCAATTTGAAATGTAACTTTTTTTTCTATGCATCATTGAAGTAATTTCTAAACTGGTTTTCTGCACATAATTTATGGAAATATATTCTTCCAGTGTAAATATTTCTGATCATTCCCTAAGGAAAAGTATCTGTATGTGAAGTATAATGTAGGATTTCTGCTCTGGACAGAGTATTTTCTGAAGCCATAAATCCAACACAGTGACAGGCAACTTTGATAGCTGTGTATTTTAAAAGTCAGAAAGCAGAAACAAACATCAGAACTGAAACCTATCCTGACAGAAATACTGTATGAAGTCTCTCATACAAATTTACCTGGTCAAGGTGTTCAGCAAGAAAACTTACTTTCTGTTCTGCCATGTCTCTGACAGTGAAGTAGAAATACAGCTGTAATGCACACGTCACATTACACCACCTTGGAGGTTCTTGCATACCTTTTTCCAGTCTTCAGATGGAACATAATCCTCGTCTTCATCTGACTCCTCCTCTGCATCATTATTACCTAAGACACAATGTGATATCCACTTACAGCTAAATCTCACAAGAAAATATGTTGGGTTTCCTAAAACAGGCATCAGCACACACAAAGCTGCAACAAAAGGAAACAACAAAAGATGGTACATACTTTCAAAATACATTAATTTCTGGGGACGAATGAGTTCTGCTGTACCAAGGGGCCTGACCGAGCGTGTGCGGCCCTCAGAGGCTGGCTGGGCTTCATCCCTCTGTCCTGAGGAGTTCTTAACACCCTCACCCTAAAATACACAGGAAAATCTAATTATAAAATTACAAGAAACAGTCAACACTATAAAATATTTTACATTTATGATAATTAAACTGCATAGTACACCTTAATAATTCACTGTTTCCACTAGAATGTGGAAACACTGGTGCTGCTATACGTGCATCCACAAGTGTGCAGTGCTGGGCCCGTGTTTATACACATCAGTGGATGAATGGTTTAAAACAACCTTAACATCATTATCGACAGGATTATTCACATTTGTCCTATCATGTATGTTTATTTACAGAGAACCTTTGACACTTCAAGGGCTGAGAAGGATCAGACAGCTGTACTGTGAAATATCACAGACAGAAATGCCTCAACACAGAAACACACCGTGTAGGGTGCAGCCCAACATAACTGGCAAATCATCACAGCGGCCCCTAGCGTCTGAATACTCTAATTTTACCGAAAAGTAAGACAGAGTAGCGATATCACAAATGTAGTAGTATCATAAACACCAAGGATATCAATGTGATGGAGTTGAATATTTGTTTCCTTCTAGGTGTGCAACAATTCTAACTCAGATTGCCTGTGGTGCTGGTATACCCTCATAATGAATGAACACATCTAAATCAATTAAGTCTTTTAAAACTAAATACTCTTCCAGTTCACCACACCAAGCTAATGTCAAAATGTCAACTTTTCTTCATATTAATGTGGAATATCCAGCGTTTATGATATAATATTTTATGATAGTTTTTATTAACTTTGAATTTAAGATCTGTGCTGAGTGCTCAGTGGGCCAACCTGAACATGTAGTCAAAGCTAGTTAGCTCCACACCGCTCTGCTACTCAAAGAAACATCTTCAGATCTCTGTCCTTCTGCAGCCTAGCTGCCCAGCTCCTATCTGCTGCTACTATGTGACCCTCTGACAGAGCAAACTTGCACTTTGTTAATAACAGCAGTTGTGGATTAACAACTTACGGTAGTGTGACTACAGGTCAGGAGCTTCCAAGTTATTTTCAAGCTAACTTCAGATCCATTTAAGGGCTCACAACTAATTTTTTACCTTGTGCTTTTTCATTTGACAGCGTACTGTTTTCTCCTACAAATTATTAAATTTGACAGTGAATATCAGTGAGCGCTCATGGTAACAAGGCAAATAAATGTTCTATGTCACCATGTGTTACAGAGAAAGTTGAACCAGATCCAACAACTTTCTCGCTGCATGGGTCTGCGTCATTTTGCTGGAGCCCCCTGTGGTGCTGTTGCTGGCTGCACTGAACGAAAACCCCTGCAGAAATTAATGGGGAGGTCTGCGTTTTTCACACCTCTGGCAGTCTGAACTAGGCTAACTTAGATACAATGGTCCTGAAACAGTCATGCAGTGCTCCACAAACAAGCAATGCTAGAATGCGTAGAAGAAACTGAGAGGAGGTCCAGTTTTTGCACATTAATAGCTCTAGTCAGCCTATAAAGTATAGAATTGGAGTGATGGGTAAACAGAGTTTGTGTGTATTTAGCCTTCACTACAGTCCTGAATGTGGGGCGCCCACCTCAATCAGTGGGAATGATAGTCACTGACTGTGTGCAGTGTAAAAAAACACGTGAAACCATGAGCCATATGAATTTTCTACAGCAGCAGTGTGCCACTGCATATACATATGGGGGAAACACTATTAAGTGTAAGCAGCAAACAAGCAAAAATACTTACAAAGAGGCAGGAGCACTGGACTTTAATGCTGCACAGGCTTTATTCCATAAACTTAAATTACAGCACTAGCATGTCTTCTTCAAAACTTGATGTTAAAATAGTATTTTTGCTTGTTTGCTGCTTACATTTATGGAACTGATATCACTGTCAAGAAACTCAAGAAACACCATCATCATTATCACCTCATTTCTTTTCAACTCCCCAGTGCTTCTGCTGCTTTCATCATTGTCAAGGTATTCCTCCTCATCCTCTTCCTCCTCATCATCTTCTTCCTCTGGTTCTTCCTCCTCCTCTTCATCCTCGTCTGCTGGTGAACCACCCCCATAGCCATACAGACTAAGCAGCTCCTGAATGGGCATTTCTCCTTCCTGTTATATGAGAAAGGTTATGCTGCTTTGTGAATATAGTTGTTTATGGCATCCTGTTTTAATTTTAGTTTTAGTCTAGTCTTTGTGTGAAGCTGTCATTTTAGTTTTTATTAGTTTTAGTCACATTCATACTCTTTTTAGTCTAGTGAAGTTTCAGTCAACTAAAAGTCTGAGCATTTTAGTCTTATTTTAGTCAGAATTATCCATGACTATTTTCATCTAGTTTTAGTCAACGAAAAGTGAA